CCCCCTAAAAAAAAAACAAAAAAAAAACTGATCTTTGCATCTAAATTATTAAGTTGTGTTCCCCCCTCCCCCCAATATCAAACTCTCTCCTACACCACTGTCCCCAGACGCATCACTTTGATTTAATACTTGCACCAGTTTCTAAACATAGCATCATTATACAGTATCTGTGAAATTGTCAAACAAAAGTCAGCCATCTGTCCAACATCACATCTAATGCCAAAGCACTTACATCTTCACTTTCTCCTGTAAAAGTGCATTGCCTGTCTATCTTTAAACAGAAGGGCTGAAGTTAAAGGTTACATAATTTCATTAACATTATTACAGACTTAAAGGGAACTTCAAAAGGGGCTTTTTCTCTTGCTCATCTATTCAAACATGACCTTTATATTGGAATTTTCAGATTATCACTCATAATAATATTCCCATACTTATTTTGTTTGGTTTGTTTTCTCGTGGTGAAAGGCGACCATATCATTCATACTGTATCTTTCTCAGTCATGATCTATACACAATGTCCAGCAAACTACATAAACCAAAAAGCCATATAAACCAACCACATCTGGTCACTTCTCAGACATGCATGGAAAGCCTACCTACCAATGGGTACAAGAAATCACAGCTCCATAAATGGTACCAATCCTTAGTAGGTTATTGGTTTTATTACCCAAATTCAGCAATAGGATTTATGATTTAACATAAATATTCACTGATCTTTTTGCTTGAACTGCTCAAAAACAGTGAATGTACACCATAGTATTAATGCATTCATTAATACATTCCATTTCTGAATATCTTAGCAATCATTGCATAGACCAATTTTTTTACAACTTGCAAACTGTTGTTTGTCACTCAAACCACATCTCATGGTCACACACTGAATTCATGGTGATCCTGACACGCTGTCTGCCTCAGTAATACCGCACTATGATGGTAGCTTTGTGTACTAACAATTCCCTCCCCTTCAGTTCCTTAAAGTCCTCGCATTCGTCTCTGAGTAGGACGTAGGAAGCTAGTTATGAAAAGCAATGGTGGCTTAAAAGTGTCACCCTGGAATATTTCCTCTTTTAAATATCAGCAGATGTACTTTAGCTGTATTTCTGTATTTGGTCGCATAATAAGAGTGACATTTCCTCGAAAAAACCACCTACATACAAAAACAACACAATGCAATAAATGTGCATTACTTCCCAGTTCATTCCCAATTAAAGTACCAAAAGGCTGATGACTAACATTTAAATTTTTAGGTTCATTTAAGGTCTTGGCCAAAGTCAGGCCACAAAGGTGATCTGGGTGGTGTATGCACTCTCAGAAAAAGTGTAAGAATTGCATCTTTGTCAATGGGGCTGTACCTTTGTAATTGTACCTTTTAAGGTACAGAAATTGACTCTGAGGAACATGCCAGAGGTACAAATGGCATTCATGTACGATCAATGGTACAACCATGTTGCCCATTTCTATACTTTAAAAGGTACAACTACCTACAGCTAAGGGTACAAATGAGGGTACAGTCCCAGTGACAAGCAAAGGTACAAATTTTTAGCTTTTTTTTCCTGTGAGTGTGGCTCTGCAGGTTTACCCTATACCCATGGTCAAAAAGTTCAAATCTACATAGTTATTCTACCCCTGGGTCCTTGAACAAGGCCCTTAACCCAAATCACACTAAGACCTGGCTGAAACTGCTTTCTCAGTTACTCTAAAGAATATTGCTTTGGCTAATTTCTATTAAACACATGCAATGCATTTAAAGTGCTTGGAACAGGTATTTAAGTTCTGCAAGTATTTGGGCACAGATTATAGGACCGACATTAGCTATAAGAAGAACAGGTAGTTGACTTGAGCCCCAGAATTACCTGCGCTGCAAACTGATGGCCATCAGTTTTCTTGGCAGGGGGGCCACCCAAGTAAAGTTTTGCCGGCCCCGACAGCATATACCAAACACACTACACAAACCCTCTTCTATTTTAAACATGTGTAATTCTAACTACATTTTGGTTTCATTACTGGTTTTATCTGGATAGTACAGTGTGAAGCGCTTGATGCTGGTAATGCATGAAAACATTAACATGAAACAGGATTTCAGAAAATCAGCCACAAGATGGAGTACTTCACCAAAAGTAAACATAAATGTAAAGAATGCAATTTTTAAGATAAGGTGACAAAGTGACGAGTGATGAAATAAAAATAGCATTTCTACAAAGAGTAATATTTTGTAATCGTATATACAAAAAATTAACTCTATTTTCTCAAAAAGGCTGGCATATAGGATTTATACAGTGAAACAGTTCAACAAAAACATTTTAAATTATTCATTGAATAAAGAAGTCTGTTTTATGACAGAAATAAACCACAAGTCATTTTTGTACCCATTGGCCCTATAGTGCCCGACTGTGGTATGTTGTGTCAAAACCTGGATTAAAGTTCAGCATTGTGTAGAATGTGGATTAAACCACAGCATGAAAAGGAATGACTGTCACGCCGCCAAGACACATCCAGCGTTTCAGACCCATAAACAGAAATATGCGTTTTGAAAGCAAGTTCTTCTTTTTAAGAGGTTGATATATATAACACATGCCATACCGCTGTTATTTTAAAGAACCTTAAAAAGGCAAAGAAAGGCTTCACGGCTAAAATCCCCTAAAACATGTAGTCATATGTTTTATTTTGAGCTAAATTACTGGACATATCTGCATGAATTTGTGTTAACGAGTGAAGATTCGGTCTGTCTCAAAATCTGGTCCATGTTACGACCGCAGATTTGTGAAATGCCGACTCTGTGTGATCTAGCTTGGGGATTACAAAAGGCTTTGTATGTGTACGGTGAAAAGGGGGGTGGATTGGCGGGGGGGGGGTCAGGGGTGCTAGGAGGACTTTTCGCTGCTTTTATGACAAGCGGCTCACAAGGTGGGTTTCACGTTTTTTAAACAAGTACCACACCAAGGAGAGGGGTTCTGTCCTCTGTCACGCAATACAAGTCCTTGGGAGCTCAGGATGGGGGAGGGGGGGGGCAGCACTTGTTGCTTTCAGATCCAGTCCCCTGGAGAAAGCAAAAGGCAGTTGGCTGCATCAGCAGAGCACGAGTGAGGGAACTTCACACAGGGGATTACCATATGTGCACCCCAATCTTCCAACAATTATATTCCTGGAACGCTTTCCAGAGTATATTTATTCTGGAAAATCAAAGTAGCGCATTCTTTCAAAGGATGTTCTGACACAGTGCAAGCACTTGTTATTAATTAAGGGCTATAATACAGTATGTGCTTTACAGGAACAGGGTCAAATTGGACAGCTTTTTTTTTTTAATACAGATTTCTAAAACTAAACGGAGCACATAGGATCAGGCATGTCTGCAATCAGTGAAAACAATTTTGACTTTATTGTGCCAATAAAATGAAACATGCACTGGCCAGTAAACACAGTGATACGTGACTGCGTCTATTCAGCAAACAGCAAAGGAAGTAAACAGAGTAAAAACATTACAAGGGTCGGCCAAGAAAACCGAATAATTCAAGGTTAATGTCCTGCATGAACGGGCAACGAAACATCACAACTGGAAAGATCAGCCAGAGAGGGGGACCAGTACCGATGCAGGGCCTTTATCCCACCAGACCACTGGGGGCAGAGTTGCCACCTGTCCCTTATATTGGGGAAGGCCCCAAACTCAGGGGGGGGAGTTAGGATGATTCCAGGGGCCCTTGGGTGACAGGAACTTACCTGGTTTCAGTTGGGAGCCTGATATAATTCGGGGTTCAAAATCTGTATCAGCGCCCCTGCTTATACT